TGCCTCTCTCTCTCTCTCTCTCTCTCTCTCTCACTCTCACTCTCTCTCATGAAAAAATAAATAAAAATAAATAAATGGAATCATAAGCTTTCACTTTACATGGTGTTTTTAAAGTTCATATTGTAGTGTATACCAACAATTTATTCATTTTTATGACTGAATAATACTCCACTGTTTGAATAGACCACATTTTGGTTTGCCTTCACTATTTGATAGACATTTGGGTTGTTTCCACCTTTGACTATATGCATAGTGCTATTATGAACATTCGTGTGCAAGTTTTTGTATGAACACTTATTTCCAGTCTTTTGGATATACACCTATGAGTAGAACTGTGGGGTTATATGGTAATTCAGCATTTAATTTATGGAGGAACCATCAAACTGTTTTGCCCTGAGCCAAAGGCAGACGCTTAACTGCTGAGCCACCCAGGCATCCCATCTTTTTCATTTTCTTATGGCCTTCCTAGTGGGTGTGAAGTGATGTCTCGTGGTTTTGATTTAAACCTACATTTAAGGGGATCCCTGGGTGGCGCAGCGGTTTGGCGCCTGCCTTTGGCCCAGGGCGCGATCCTGGAGACCCGGGATCGAATCCCACATCGGGCACCCGGTGCATGGAGCCTGCTTCTCCCTCTGCCTGTGTCTCTGCCTCTCTCTCTCTCTGTGACTATCATGAATAAATAAAAATTTAAAAAAAAAATAAATAAACCTACATTTAAAAAAAATAAAAATAAAAAATAAAAAATAAACCTACATTTAAAATTCATTTGCATCTGGGATGATATTGGACATCTTTTCATGTGCTTGTTGGCCATTTGTGTATCTTTTTTGGGGAAATGTCTATTCAAGTCCTTTGCCCATTTTTTAATTGTTTTATGTTGTTGAGTTATGAGTTCTTTTATTATTGTTATTATTATTTTTATTTATTCATGAGAGACACAGAGAGAGGCAGAAACATAAGCAGAGGGAGAAACAGGCAGCATGCAGGGAGCCTGATGTGGGACTCGATCCCAGGACTCTGGGATCATGCCTTGAGCCAAAGGCAGGCGCTCAGCCACAGCCACCCAGGCGTCCTGGGTTATGAGTTCTTTATGTTTTCTGAATACCAGGCAGTTATTAGATACATGACTTATAAATATTTTCTCCTGTTCCATAGGTTGTTTTGTATTCTCTTGATATTGTCCATTGATGCACAGAAGGTTTTATTTTTTTAAGATTTTAATTGTTCATTTGACAGAAAATGAGAGCACAAGCAGGGGAGCAGCAGGGGAGAGGGAGAAGCAGGCTCCCCCCTGAGCAGGGAGCCTGATGTGGGGCTCGATCTCAGGGCCTCAGGATCATGACCTGAGCCGAAGGCAGACAGACGCCTGACTGACTGAGCCACCCAGGTACCCCACGGAAGGTTTTAATTTTGATGAAGGCCAGTTTATGTATTTTTCTTTTGTCACTTGTACTTTGGGTATGCTATCTAAGACAGCGTTGCTAAATCCAAAGTCCTGAAGCTTTACCTCTGGTTTTTTTTTTTTTTTTAAGTTTTAGAAGTTTTAGAATACAAGTCATAGCTTTTATATATTTAGCTCATTGATCCATTTTGAATTAATTTTTTGTATATGGGGACGCCTGGGTGGCTCAGTGGTTATGCATTTGCCTTCCGCTCAGGGTGTGATCCTGGGTCCCAGGATCGAGTTCCACATCGGGCTCCCTGCAGGGAACCTGCTTCTCCCTCTGCCTGTGTTTCTACCTCTTTCTGTGTCTCTCAGGAATAGATAAATAAAATCTTTAAAAAAATGTTGTATATGGTCTGAAGTAAGGGTCGATTTCATTCTTTTGCATGTGGATATCTAGTTGTCTAGCATCATTTGTTGAAGACTGGTCCTTCCCCCTGAATGGTCTAGACATTCTTGTCAAGAATAAGTCAGTTATGGATGTATAGGTTGGTTTCTGGACTCTCGATTCTACCCCATTGCTTTATGTGGCTATACTTAATGCCACTACCACACTGTTTTGATTGCTATAGCTTTGTAGTACGTTTTGGAATCAGGAAGTGTCAGTCATCCAACTTTGTTCTTCTTTTTTCCCCAAGATCATTTTGGCTATTCAGACTCAGAGTTGCAGTCCTGTCCTATCCTCAGGAAGCTGTAGGGGGATTGGATAAGGTCCAAGGAAGACTAATTAAAATAATCATGCGTTGTAACAGGCTATTCTTATCGGTTTGGCCTGTCTGATGGATGCTGCCATCTGGAAGGAGGAGGGCGGAGAGTCAGTTTATGATCGAACTGTAATGCGAAGAGGAAGGGCTACACAAGCTGGTTTGGGCAGCCCATCTTGGATGCTGTAGAATTAGAAAGCTGCCCGGTGAGGTTTGGAAGAGGCAAGCTTAGTGTCTTAGCGTACCTGAGCCGGACAGTGCCCTGTGGTGCTACAAAACTGGTGAAGCTTATTATCCCAAGGAGTGATTAATATAAGCTAAAAATCATAAATATTGTGGCTTTACAATGTTTAAGGACCTTTGTGGATCTTTATCTGCCGGGACAACTGCGGATGTTTTGTGGCTTGCCTCTTACCTTCTGAGGTTGGTGCCGCCACCCTGTGCTCTCCCACCCCCCACCCCCGCCCCGTGCCCTGGAGATGTGTTCTGGGGCAGGGTAGTGGGCTGAGTGGCTGAGTCTGTGCCCGGAGGGCGGTTCTTGGGAATTCCCATGAGCCACGGCCCGCTGAGTGTCCTCCCGGTATATGCCAGCGGGTCAGAGAACCCAACCCATTGCCCTGCCTGCAGTGGGGTTGTCTTCGCCGAGGCTCGGCTGTTAATGCCTCCGTAACACGCAGCTAGACGGAGGCTGCCCAGGTTGGGACTTGTTGGTCTTCCTCAAAATACAGCCTCGCTCGTGAATCAAATTTGCATCTACATCCTACCACAAACCACCTTCTAATCATATGTTGGAGCCACATTCAAATCCTGCTTAGGTGGTTTTGTCTTCAGTTTAGTTTTGACAGACTTGTTAAGAGCACAGTGCTGTGCTAGTGAGAGCTTTGTTCTAAGCACTTTCGTGGGGGGCAGGGAGGGGGAGAGAGAGGATCCCGATGCCACCACCCCGAGATCAGGACCTGAGCCGAAATCCAGAGTCGGCCGCCTCACCGACTGAGCGGCCCGGGCTCCCCCTCCTTCTGACCACTTTTTAATTCGGTTGTGTCTCCAGTGATTCTGTTACTCCTCTGGTACTGGTTTTCCGAATTATGTTATTTCTACTAAGTAACTCCTTGGTTGTGGAATATGGAGAGTCTTAGGTATGTTTTGTTTATATGCATGTGTGTAGACTGATTTAACCTGATGAGTCACTGTGAAGTAGATTATAAAGGGCTATTAGCATTCATTAGTCCAGATTTAGTTTTCAAAGAAATCGCACATAGTTTTGTGATTTCGCATGCTAGTACGTTTATGGTTAAACTCAGTTATTTTTATGATTCTATTATCACTTTACTTTGAAAAATGGATATTAACAGAAAACTGGCCCTAATGTCTATCTTTAAAGTCAAGGAAAAAGCAGAACTTCCCAGTGTTGGATCAGTGGTCCAGACAATGTGAATTTAAAAACAAACTGGATTCAAATTTCAACTGGAGGATTTTAGAGGTCATCTAGTTCATTGCCTTCTTTCTGATTAATCATGAGGAAAATGAGGCTCAGAGGGGTTAAATGACTCGCCCAATGCCACACGACTAGTTACTGGCAGAGCTGAGGCTAAAACAGTCTCTTGCTGTGCTTGCTGTGGTCTTACGGTAACTTGCCACTTCCTAATTAGTGGTTAAAGAGACATTTTCTGTGTGCGTGCCTGCGTGTGCGTGCCTGTTTATGTTTGAGTGTTACATTTAGAGGAGAGATTAGAATCTATTGAGCGCCTATTTGCTGAGCACTTTTAAAATGTGGTATTCCATATAGCTCGCACACAGCCCTGTAAAGTGATTATCCGCGGTCCCACTCGACAGATTAGGAAACCAGAGTGCAGGAAGGTTACGAGCGTGCTCGAGGTCACGTGGTTGACGTTAGCGCTGGTGTTGGGGCCTTGGGTCTTTGTGACCGTCCCTGCCCTAGTGCCCTGCTGTGGCTCTAGCGGTAGTGACCGAAGCCTTTTCAGGGGTGCAAGCAGTCGTGATGGTTCTCTTAAAAATACATCTTTTTCAGACTTCTCCGTCACTCTGTAAACTCTGTCGATGTACCCAGATGTGCACAGAGAGAACCTTCCTCAGGACACTCACCGCGCTTAGCGGATGTTTGGCTCATCTTCATACCATCTCCGTAAGATAAATGGCATTTTCTGGCAAGGCGGCCGAGGCCGAGGCCGGGTAGCTTCAGAGACTTGCCTAATCCCTTATCACAAACCCGCATGGCCCTGCTCCCAGTTCCGCTCTTCATCCCGTCTCACAGAGATTTCGCCACTTTTGTTCTTTCCTGTCTTACACCAAGATTGTTTAAGTACTTCCCAAAAATAATGAGCCCCGTGTGGGTGTGTTCGTTCTCCAGAATGAATCACTGTGAAAGAGGCCGTGAACCAGCGGAGGGAGAAGTATCTGGAGCAGGAGCCTCTTGGCCCTGCCGTCTGCTAATTGACAGACCCCGCGGCGGGCTCTTTCTCCAAGGCGGCTCGGGTCTGGCCCTCTGAGCGCGGCTCCCTCCGGCGCCCGGAACAGCCCCGACGCTGTTCTCTTTGCCGCGTGTCGCGGCACACGTGTTGAGAGGTGTGCACCCCACGGGGAACCCCTCTGTGCCCGCGGCCTCCCCGACCCCGGGGCAGGGGCGCCAGCTGCCTTGGGTCGCCGGGCAGGACGCCAGCGGGGGTGGAGGGCTTGGCCCGAGGATCCGAGGGGTGCAGGAGTAAGCTCCAGTTAGCGGGGAAATAAGGGGGGGAGCAAAAAGAGGTATTTGGGGGGGATGAGGCGGTTCCTTCGTCTTTCTTGTGTCTGAAAAGGGTTGGAATCGAAGTTTAGGAAGGACGTACTTTTAAAATTCCTTTTATGATCTGGACCCTAGTCCGAAGGGTACCTGCTTTAAGCTTCCTGCCTTAAAAAGAGCACGTTCCCCTCCGCCGTCAGCTGGCAGCGCGGTGGAATTTCTCCCAGAAGAAAGGGCTCTGATCAGAGGCCTCGGGAGGCTCCGCCGCCGCCGCCGCCGCCGCCGCCGCCGCTTACCTGTCAGTGTGCGCGCTCCTTTGTCTCCTCGGGTGGGAGTGGCGAGGGATTGCATCATTTATGGAAAGCCTGAGGAAGGGGCCTTGGGCACAGAGAGGTCTAGAATCCGTCCTTGGAACTGAGAAGCCAAGAGATGCCTCCCAGTGTGTTGCAGGGAGAGACAAAGATAGCCTGTTCACAGCCTGAAGGGGTGAGTTACGGCGGGCGCGTTGTTCACGGGGCTGGTCATAAATGTCTCTTCTCCAGGGGCCTTGGTTTGAATGTAGTCCCACTTGGTACCCAGATAGTCTTGGCTGAGTGTCCAGGCCGGGACTTGGGTGGGCCCTGCAGCCTCCACTGCCTGCGGCCGAAGGCTTCATTCAGCTCCGGGTCCCAACCTCAGGGTCCTGGTGGCCGCAGCCGCACTCCTGCCCGATCCGAGAGGTCAGGGCTAGGTTAGGCCCATGGGAGACAGTGTCGGGGAGAACCAACTGCCGCTGTCTGTGCTATTCTTGTTAGACGGATAAATAAAGGATTTCAGATTCCAGGGCTGCTGAACTGGCTTTCAGAGGCGCCAAATTCATTTACAGTAATTTCCTGTCAACAGTGCACACTTATGTATAAAACACACCCAGCAGAACTCATTAGACCCAGGCATGATTGCACAAACTGCCTATTTCAGGGGGGGAAAGCATGTGTATGTGTGTTTGTACGTATAAAATATATATTTATATATATATAGTGTGTGTGTGTATATAATAAAGATATATAATATTTTTTAAATGATATCCAGCGACCTTCCAGAGTAGGTTAAATTTATTGAACACTTTATGCGTCAGCCTGTTTAATCCTCACAATAACTTTACGAGTTAGGCGTTCATATTATCCTCTTTGGAGGTTATTCCTCCCCCCCCCCCCCCCATGAGAGGTGCACCTACCATGGACTAAAGGGAGGAGGAGGACATTGGACTAGTGGATGGGAAGCTTTTCAAAGGAAGTGATGCTTAGGCTGAATTTTAAAGGATTTGTGAGAAGTAGCCAGGAAGAAAAGCATTGCCGCAAAAGAATGTGTGAGAGCATGCATACTGCATTCAGAAAACTGTGGGCATGCCCAGTGCCAGAGAAAGAAGATGGGGTTGATGAGCCATCCTCAAGCAAGGGAGCCTGGGTGGTTTCGGATGGAGGATGGAGGGGTGGGGCGGGAGGTGGTATCTGTATCCTCTGAGGGGAAAGTGCCTTCCTCTCATCCTCAGGCATCTACATTTAAAGGAAAACTTCATTCCCAGCCACAAAATAATGTGTAGTAAGTCTAAGGCAAAGTTCAGAAGGTTTTTTTTCTGTTTCTCATAGGCCTAAGATAGGGTACTTAGAAGAAAAAGTTGGGGCTTGGAAGCCTGGTTTCTGAGCTGAATGAACAGGCGAAAAGTTGGTGCTCCCATTGACGGTGTCGTCTCTCTGGCCCTATCTCCATCAAAGCTCCTTATTTGGGAACATCAAGTGTGCTAGAGGATTATATTCTAAGTCTGGAAAAGGACCTAGGATAAGATCTCACCGTTAATGTCAGTGTACTCCCAAATTTCCTGCAGCTCTGCAGTGTGCGTGTACCAGCTGCCTCCAGGCCAACTACACGTGTGAAACAGATGGGGCCTGCATGGTTTCCATTTTCAACCTGGATGGGATGGAGCACCACGTGCGCACCTGCATCCCCAAAGTGGAGCTGGTCCCCGCTGGGAAGCCCTTCTACTGTCTGAGCTCTGAGGATCTCCGCAACACCCACTGCTGCTATACTGACTTCTGTAACAAGATCGACCTGAGGGTGCCCAGTGGTGAGTGGACACCCTTGTTGGACTATTGGCTCATCCTGGAGGTAGGGCACCCCTGCCATCTCATCCTACTCTACTCTTCCCCAATCCCTTTGTTTGGTGATAGGTAAAGGTACCTTTTGGATGTTCCCCAACATGACGAGGGGATGGGATTCCTCCCCAGTCAGATTTGTAGACAAGAGTTTGGGGAAGACAGATTGTCAAGAGGTGAAAGCCACATTTTGGATGCTGGCTGAGCAGCCATGGGCAGCTGGTGAGGAGTGGGAGAGCCAGGCAGGGATCCCCATGGGAAGGTATGGAGATAGCCCCTGATCTGCGTGAAGGCAGCTGCTGGGTGAGTGTGATGGCAAGATGGGAAGAGGGGCCGGAGTTGGAAAAGAAGGACAGCAGTCGGGGCTGCGAAGTATTAGCTGGCGGCCCTTTGCAAGGGTCCCATTTAGAAGGCATGACTGGGGAGAGCAGAGGAGGAGGGACTTTCAGCTGCAGAGCTTAAAGCAGCTGTTTCGAGTGGAAGCGCAGAACCTGGCATCTGTCTGGGGCACTGAGGTGGGACGGCCCCGGGGAATGCCGAGGATGACAGTGAGTTGTGAGCTGGACTGTCGTAACGGGCTCCTCGGTTAGAGAGGTTCGCATATGAGGGCGCCAGGCACACCCAGAGCCCGGTAAGACCAGGGAGGTCAAGAGCACCTTGAGCGCAGGCAGGAGGGAAAGGGCACATTCCCGCGGATGGGGGTGTCGGGGACAGAGAGGGCCAGAGCTTTCCCGTGTTTTTACCGTGTTCTTTCCCTCTCCTCTCTCACTTGACCCAGGTCACCTCAAGGAGTCTGAGCACCCTTCCATGTGGGGCCCCGTGGAGCTGGTAGGCATTATTGCTGGCCCAGTGTTCCTCCTGTTTCTCATCATCATCATTGTTTTCCTTGTCATTAACTATCATCAGCGTGTCTATCACAACCGCCAGAGACTGGACATGGAAGATCCCTCGTGTGAGATGTGTCTCTCCAAAGACAAGACGCTCCAGGATCTTGTCTACGATCTCTCCACATCAGGGTCTGGCTCAGGTACTGAGTCCTTCAGCACTTGTGTCTGTCGTTGGTCTTCGTCACCATTTCCCAGCAGGGATAGACCGACCCGACCGTTCACGGAGAAGGCTGGGCCTTGCACTCGTTTCTGCCGGCACCAAGGCGTTTGGTTTCAGGACACCCCTTCTTTTGGAGTCTGATATGTAATAAGATAATGGGTCCACAGAGAATCTTTGATTCCCTGGGATTCCAAAGGTCAGGAGTAAAACTCCATTCCAGAAACCCCGCCTCTCTCCCAGTCTTGTAAGCGCACATCTATTAAAATTCACCTGGTTCCATCTGAGCAGTAGAGTGCTCAATTGAAGGGCCCCTTGGAGAAACAGGAGTGTGCCGGGTTTCTGTGAGGTGGTGACAGCTAATCATTGATCTCTGAGCAACCACAAGGGGAGTTTAAGGACATTGAGTAAAGCTGAGAGCTGGGGTTTGGTGAATCATTGACTTGTACCCGTTGCCCAAGGGTTTTTTTGGTGGGGGTTACATAAAGGCAGCTTGGGCTTGCAGCTTGGTGTCAGTCCCCTTTGTTTCCTGCACTGCCTGTTGGTAACCGAGTCTTTCTTAGTTGAGGGAATTGAACTGAACCCTGGCCCTTGATGTGAGCTCAGAATTCAGGATAAAGGGCCTGGGGTTGCTCAGGTCTCAGGGTATAGCTCAGCGAGCTATTAGATGTGAAACGACTGCAAAAGAGTCTTTTTTTTTTTATGAAGATAGACAATTATTTTAGTGATGGTGGTATTCTTTTCTTGTGGAAAAAAATCATCTGCAAAGGTCTCTATTGCCATTCTAGTTAAAACATACAGAATCGTATTGTGAGAATTTTGTGTGTGTTTATGGTATGTTTCCTTGCCATGTGACAAGACTATTGTTCTGTAGGGAAATTATGCCATCAGTCATGGCCAGACATTCCTCCTTGAACACAGGGAATACTTTGAGCTGTGACATCTCCTGAATTTCAGTGGTTTTGCCTTTATTAAGCTCTGCAGTAGAGAGTGCCAAAATGATGGATATATTTAAAAGCTGCATATTTTTAGGAAGAGAGAAAATATATGTCTTGTTCCTTGCTGAAAGAGGTAGGGCAGTGGTTAGAACTGCCTGACTGACTCTCTGACTTGATTTGCTGTCACAGGAGGGTAGCTCAGGTTTTCTGGAGCCTTTTTTAAGATCAGAACTAGCTGAGGCCAGTGAAGGTCCGTGGTGGTTACTTAGTCTTCTGGAGTAAAATGATTAATAACTATTTCTCCTTGGATGTTTAGTCCCTTCTTAATCCCAAATGCAGGGCTTCCAAGCTGTTCGAGTTTCAATACTGTGGTTTTTAAAGTAGTAAGTCCATGCTGCTTATGTGACTTTCAATTCCCTTTAACAAATACGTGTCGAATGCCCTCTGGGTGGCACAAGGTAAAGAAAGATAAAAAAAGGCTGACCCGGGACTGGGTAGAAGAGACCGGGGATTGCTGGGAAAGGGTCTCCTGGGGGAGGATGCGTTTAAAGGGGTCTCGAAGACGGAGTTGGAGGTTTTAAGAGTGGTAAGAGGACAGGGAACACTTCAGGCCAAGGAAAACCCCTTGAGCAAAAGGACAAAAAGGCACCAAAGTTCACCATGTGTTTAGGGAATGATAAAGAGACTGGCGTGCCCTGCCCACGCTCGGGGGTGAGGACGGGGGTGGGGACTGGCAGGACAGCCCGGGTGGGAAGGACCTTGGGTGCCGTGCTTTCTCCAGTACGGTGAGAGGCATCTACTGGAAGTTTTCATGTGGCAACATAAATGTTCTTATTTTCCCATGGAAGGAATTCTGGCAGTGGTGTGGGGTGAATTCACTCATTCACCAGCCTCCTGTTAGGGCAGGGTGAGGCAGGGCTGCGTGTGGGTGTGCAGGGCAGGAGCAGGGCGACCAGGGAGGCGGAAAGACCAGTTGGAAGTCTTTTAAAGAAGGGCCAGGACTCGGGCGGGCACAGAGGAGATGGACGGGAGGGTTGTGTAGTGTTGTAGTTGGAAGCGTGAACTTTGGGAGACAGTTCTAGATTTTAGTCCCATCTTTGACACTTGCTGCCTGTATGAGTTCAAAGGAGTTACGTAACTTTCCCTTTCAAGCTTTAGTTTTCCCATCTGTAAAATGGGGATAATAACACTGTCTACCTACCGTACAGGTGGTTGGGAGGAAGTGAGATAATCTGTGTAAAGCCTTTATCATAGTGCCTGGTGCACCGTAAGCGTCCAGTAAGTGGCGTTCCCATCCGCAGGGCGTAGGGGTTAGTTAATAACATGTTTATTTGGTCTGGGAGAGGAAGTGAGAGCTCCGAGTCAGTCTTGATGGATAGATAGGGAGACTACTGACGGCGACAAATGAAGCAGTAAAGGAGCCCTGTAAAGACAGTAGAGTCGGGGATCCCTGGGTGGCGCAGCGGTTTGGCGCCTGCCTTTGGCCCAGGGCGCGGTCCTGGAGACCCGGGATCGAATCCCACGTCGGGCTCCCGGTGCATGGAGCCTGCTTCTCCCTCTGCCTGTGTCTCTGCCTCTCTCTCTCTCTCTCTCTCTCTCTCTCTCTCTCTCTCTGTGTGTGTGTGACTATCATAAATAAATAAAAATTAAAAAAAAAAAAAAAAGACAGTAGAGTCACCCCGAGGGTCAGCGTGGGCAGCCTTGTGTGCCGCATCTGGCCTGGCCCGGGGAGCAGGGCTTTGCTTGGAGGGCGGTGGGAGCCTCGGAGCCCCAGCCGCGGCCTGGCTTTCGTGGGCCACGCAGCGGCGCCCTCTAGTGGCTGCGGAGCAGGGCCGCCCGGGCACCCCCGGCACCCCCAGCCCCAAGCCCCGGCCCTCTTCACCTTCTCTGCCCTCTTCCCTCTTCAGTCAGCATAAAGCAGATGTGCGTGGACTGGCCCGCGAGAGGCTGGCTGCACGGTTGGCAAATCTGGTCAGATGCCGTGTGCAAACCTGTCGCCCGTACTAACTGAAAGGAAAGATGGCTTAGATAAGGCACAGCTAATGGCACTATGGCATGCGTTTCCCTTCCTTGTGTTCACCTACTCCTAGTCGCGGCCTTGCTTGGCCCTCTGCTGGCTCCCCGGGCCGCGGTGCAGCGGCGGCTGCAGCTCTCCCTGGTTGGTGGACCGGGGCAGAGCGGAGGCTCTGTGTGGTCATGGCCTTTCCAGTGTGGCAGTGAGAGTGGGAGTTGCAAAGCTTAGCAAAATTTACAGTGTCCGCTTTCTTTCTGTTTTTTGGTCCACAGGGTTGCCCCTGTTCGTCCAGCGCACAGTGGCCCGAACCATCGTTTTACAGGAGATTATTGGCAAGGGCCGATTTGGGGAAGTGTGGCGTGGCCGCTGGAGGGGTGGTGATGTGGCTGTGAAGATTTTCTCTTCTCGTGAAGAACGGTCTTGGTTCCGGGAAGCAGAGATATACCAGACGGTCATGCTGCGCCACGAAAACATCCTTGGATTCATTGCTGCTGACAATAAAGGTAACGAGCTGGGTTTGGAGCCAACAGCAGCCCCAGGTGGAGGGGTGACTGGGGAAGTTGAGCACCTGTGGGCTGCCTTCATGGTTATTACCTGTAGAAGGAGAATCTGAATAAGCCGGTGGTCCTTCAGCTTCTCTTCGTGGAAAGCTTATATAGAAACCCAGGCTGTTAAGCAAACAGTCATTAAGCAGATAAACAAGATAAACCCCTCACCCTTCCTGCTCACTTCCTGTTCCTAACACCCCTTCCCTGCACTCCTAGCAGCGTAGTCCTGGCAGGGGCTCCAGTTAATTGACCTTGAAAATCACTGGAATGAAGAATTGTGGCCTCAACTCCTGCCAGAGAAGAATAGCCCAGAAAAGTATGGGATGTGCGTTCTGTGATATAATCAGCATCATACACACTTGTAGTGCAGCAGGCGCAGCAGGGATGACCTGGCTGCCCCCAGAATGTTACCTTGTGGTCTCTCAGGCTCGGCTTGTGGACTGCCTTAGACCTGAGATCTCTTGGTTCTTCCTTCCTCTCCCTTCTGATTTTTCTTTTCTTTTTTTTTTTAATGTTTTTTTTCTTTATTTATTTATTCATAAGAGACAGAGAGAGAGAGAGAGAGAGAGAGAGAGAGAGAGAGGCGGAGACACAGGCAGAGGGAGAAGCAGGCTCCATGCAGGGAGCCGGGTGTGGGACTCGATCCCAGCACCCCGGGATCGCGTCCTGAGCCGAAGGCAGGCGCTAAACGCTGAGCCACCTGGGCGTCCCCCTTCTGACTTTTTAGTTTTTGAGGCCCTCTCGTGTGGCCAGGCACGTCCTTGTTTTTGAGGGGGCCTCACTGACCAGCAAAGGAGAAGTAAACTAATGGTTGATACAGGACATAATCAAACAGCAAGCTGTTCTAGTGAGCACGAATTGGGAGAGAGATAGGGGTCAGGGAGGCCATACCTGAGCTTGATCGAGGACAAGGTCAGGAAGAAAAATCAGCGAGAGGACACTGCAGACACACGTGTAGAGGTTTGGAACCCCGCAAGTAATATGGACGCTCTATGGGTGGGGGGCAGTGGATGCCGGAGTGAAGGGCCTCCTTGAGAGGATTACATTTTATTCTGAGATAGTGATTGGAATTTCATTCATTAATTCACGAACGTTCGGTGACCACTGTGATCATCGCGCGTAAGAATGACTCACAGTCCTAGCCCTCACGCTCCTGGGCGGGGGGGGGGGGGGGGGTGGCAACAGACAGTGGCCAGGTAGTGCACCTGAAGTCAGAAAAGCCGTGAGATGTTTGCAGCTTACGTTTTAGAAGAGTCTCCCTGGCAGTTGAGACCCAGGCTGCTCCCATGACACGGCAGTTTTTACAAGTCAGTGTCTACAAAGCCTACGGAAGATGCTAAGTATTTATTTTTCCTTCCTAAAACAACAACAGACTGCTGATTCTTCACATTGCTGTAGGGGTTGGTCATGGCCTCAACTGCCCCCAAGCTGAAGAGGCTCGGACTTCAACGCAAGGGGAAGGAGGGGAAGGGAGAAAGTGTTTACTCTGAGTAAGCTGTGCCTTTTCAAAACAGCAGCATCTTTTGATGACAGTTGTATTTCACCTACAGTTTGAAGGCTCAGAAGATGCCTTCCCTTTAACTTTAACTACCTACCAGGGTCCTCGCAGCTGCAGGGCCGGTTGGAGTGCAAGCGTATGTTGGGTGGACCCCTGGCTGGTCAACCGGAAGCCAGGCCTGGTGCTGTTCCAAGAGCCACTCCCTTTATTGATTCTGGCGGTTCCTGTGCGCAGGGATCTGGCTGTAAAAACTCACGTTAGGGCCAAGGGAGGAGAAAAATCGGACTCCTTCGTTTTTGCCTTTTTAGCATGATATATATATAGTATAGTGTCCTGGAACTAGCACCAGCCTGGAATCTGGAGATCTCAATCCAATTTCCAATCTTCCTATTGACAGCAGCATAACCTAATTAGATTACCAGCTTTGGGGTTTTTTCCTCCTTCCTACTACACGCTGCCTCTCATCCCCCACCCCGTAGAAAAGTGCACACTGTCCACCTTCCATTGCTCTTCTCAGGAGAAGATGACCTCTCTGGAATACTTGGAATTGTGCTCTTCATGCATTGAAAAGCATTTTTTTTTTAGTCTGGAATACAGTAACGCACAAAGGAGCTCTTTACTCTTCTCCCAGGGAGAGAGCTCATGGCTCGGTAGGAGCAGTGGACTGAAAGGAAACATTACAGATGAGCCAGCTGCTGGGGCTAGGCTGTGCTCACAGGATCTTGGAGCACAGAGGAGGGTCTGCGAAGCTTTCCTCCTTGGCAGCGGTGGGTGCAGCCAGTCATGGTCTAAAGAGTAGGTCTTGTTCAGACCCCGACAGCCACCTGCAAGAAAGAAGGGAGCGTGTCTAAGAAAGTATGTTGTTCTTCTCTCCTTCCTCAAGGACACACACTGGTGAATAAGTGTAGATGAAGCGGGGGCGCCCAGGTGGCTCAGCGGTTTGGTGCCTGCCTTTGGCCCAGAGCGTGATCCTGGAGTCCCGATATCGAGTCCCACATTGGGCTCCCTGCAGGGAGCCGGCTTCTCCCTCTGCCTGTGTCTCTGCCTCTCTCTGTGTCTCTCATGAATAAATAAATAAAATCTTTAAAAAAAAAAAGTGTAGATGAAATGGGTACAGAGGGGGAGCCTCAGGAGGTATGGAGGCAAGAAGCATGGATTCAGGAATATCTCGGTGGAGTTCGTGTCGTTCACGTATTCTTTTTTTCCTGCCTTAACCTTTCTGCTGGTAGTTGTGCCTCTTCCAGAACTCCTCTGTGGTTCTCTGCAGATAATGGCACCTGGACACAGCTGTGGCTCGTCTCAGACTACCATGAGCATGGCTCCTTGTTTGATTATCTTAACCGATACACGGTGACGATCGAGGGGATGATTAAGCTGGCCCTGTCTGCGGCTAGCGGGCTAGCACACCTGCACATGGAGATCGTGGGTACCCAAGGTGAGTGAGTGGACCCCGCCGAGGAGCAGTAACATTGAGTAGACTTTCAAGGCCTGTACCATTCCTGATTTAGTTCCCAGGACTCTTTTCTTTTTTTTTTTTTTTTTTTTTTTAATGAGGAGGTTGGAGGTGGGCCTAAACTCAGAGAGAGATTTGAGTTTTTCTTGAGAATGAGAGGTGCCTGCAGTGGGGTTTCTTCAACCTCCGTCTTGGGCTCTAGAACATAAAGATTCCGTTGTTTGTCATTTGGTGGCCAGGCATGATTGTTGGGTGGTGAGCTCAGCCTGCGTTCTGAGTTGTCACCCCAGAAGCCCACCATACACATGTGAAAGAATGGAGCCAAGAAGCAACAACCAGCTAGGGCAGAGGAGCAGCAGTGGGGTAATCCCACACGGTCACTGTTGGGACAGTTGGCTTACGGACTGCATAGTGCATCAGACACTGGGCTTTACTAACCTAGGAAGGTTCTGGAGGAAAAAGACCCCGAGCTTCCTTGTTTGTTGACTGTAACATCAGCTCTTTGGGGGATCGTGGTTCTCCTCAAGCTGGCAGGCTGTGCTGGCTGTGCTGATTCCTGGTTGACCAGGGCAACAGCTCTTGCCGCCCATGACAGAAAACCAGCCATTAGTGTTGGATCCTGTTCCTCGCTCGCCCCTCTGGTGACAGTAGTGGTCCTTATCTTTGCCTGTTTGATGGTGAGAAGCTTAGCCAGTGCAGCAGCTTTTCCTGGGATTCCTTGGCAGTTCTGACCCGGAGCGTATCAGTTCAGGAAGGCGAGCAGGAGGAGGAGGAGTAGAAGGAATGGTAAGAGCTAATACACACGCCTTTCAAAGCACTTCACTACTTGCATTAGTGCATTTAATCCTCACATTGCCCTGAGGTAAGGACTGGGGTAGCCTTATCTTACAGAAGAGAAGACAGAGGTACACGTGGGTCAGGTTGATTTTTTTAGGGTTATCGGGTTAGTGGGAGGCAAAGCCAGAACTCGGACCCATACAGTCTGGCTCCAGAGTCTATGTTTTTAATATTTTCGCTATCTCTCTGTAAAGATCCCTATTTTTTTCTCTGCCAGGGAAGCCTGGAATTGCTCATCGAGACTTAAAATCCAAGAACATCCTGGTGAAGAAAAATGGCATGTGCGCCATAGCAGACCTGGGCCTGGCCGTCCGCCATGATGCGGTCACTGACACCATTGACATTGCCCCAAATCAGAGGGTGGGAACCAAACGGTAGGAAGGCCCTGAGCCTCTGCCCTTGCCTTACCTTTGTACTGAGTAGCTCATGGGCAACCTCTCCCATCTACACAGGAGACAGAAGCATAGAGAAGGAGGTGTGGCCCTTGCTCTGAGACAGCCGAAAGCTGAATTGAAACCCCACTCCCCACACTGGAACGCTGCACTGGGGGCATCTAACAGATACAGGTGCCATGAGCATGGCTCCGTAGAACTATATACACACCTAGCTAGCTGTTCATGGTATTGGGTAGGGAGAGGCAGCAGAGAAAGAATGTGCAGGAAGACTTGGAAGGGAGATGGGCAGCAGGCTCGGCTGGGACAAAGAGGAAGAAGGTGCCACCAAAGGGGAGCTCGTGTGGAGACCCTGAGGAGGCAGGGAGTAGGTCCTGCTGGGGGTTAGAGAGCAGGTTTGCCGAGCTGGAGCAGAGGTGATCTAGGTCAGAGACTGGGGGCAGCTTGAGGATTATGGGCCTGCTCCCTGCCTCCTACAGAAGTGAGGTAAGACATAAGGACCGCGCCTGTAGATTGACTTCCTGAGTCAGAAATGGAACTGTCGTCTAATGGGTCAGAAGAGGAAGTCTGTTTACCCGCCAGGTCCCAGTGCATTTCACTCAAGTGTGCTGTTGCTTTCCCCCTTCCTCCTGACCTGAATGAGTGCAGCTCCCGAGGCCCCAGAGTGTGTGTGAGGCCTGATGACCTTCTTGGGGCGAACGGGGCGGGGGGTGCGGTGAGGAGAGTGGCATGAGTAGTCTTAATTAACTGAGGGACACTTTGATGATCACCTAGAATTAATTTTCATTTCTCTGTAATTAGGTAAGATAACAAAAGAGATTCAGAATGAAATTTAAGCTCAGCCCATCACCGTGGCTACATTTAATAAAGCCCAAGACCCCAGCAGCAACCAGATATTATGGATCGTTACTGCCCCGTGACCCACTGTACAAATACTTCTGCCAAGAAATCAAAGCATCCTTAAAATACATCTCAATGGTTAAAAAATAAGAGCAGCCGAGTAGCACCCAACCTCTGCTGAAGGATTTGGATTCGAATCCAAAGCATGGGAGTTTGCAGTAAAGAGAATTGATCACTTTCTGCTCCCCAAGGGGCATTCTTGGGGTGATGCCTTCCCACATTGAGGGCCCCTGAATCACTACTTGGATTTAAACAAAGAAATCATCCTTCTCTCTGCATCATCTTGTTTCCTTTGCTGTTGCAGATACATGGCCCCCGAAGTGCTCGATGAAACCATTAACATGAAGCACTTTGACTCCTTCAAATGTGCTGATATCTATGCCCTCGGGCTCGTATACTGGGAGATTGCTCGGAGATGCAATTCCGGAGGTACCCTTCTTTTTTTGCCTTTTCTTGTTTCTACATCCCAGTACAGGTTGCTGGATCACCTGAGGGTGCTCGTGAGAGGGCTGGTATTTCATTGCCTCCTTTCTTTTTACAACATGTTGGCCCATCACACATAGATGAGGGAACTTCAGATGTGGTTGTACAAAAGGTGTGTTGACTGTTGAATAGTGTTGTTGTTTTTTTTAATTTTTTTTTTTTGAGTGAGAGAATGCACTCGTGTGCTAATGATTGGGGGAGCAGAGGGAGAGAGAGAATCTCAAGCAGGCCCCACACCCAGTGCAGAGCCTGAGTAGGGCTCGATCTCACAACCCTGAGATCATGGCTTGAGCCAAAATCAGGAGTCAGCTGCTTAACTGACTGAGCCACCCAGATGCCCCTCTTGAATAGTGTTTTAAATTGTGATACCCGGGATCCCTGGGTGGCGCAGCGGTTTGGCGCCTGCCTTTGGCCCAGGGCGCGATCCTGGAGACCCGGGATCGAATCCCACGTCGGGCTCCCGGTGCATGGAGCCTGCTTCTCCCTCTTCCTGTGTCTCTGCCTCTCTCTCTCTCTCTCTCTCTGTGTGACTATCATAAATAAATAAAAATTAAAAAAAATTTAAAAAAAAATTAAAAAAAAAATAAATTGTGATACCCATGGGACGCCTGGGTGGCTCAGCAGTTGAGCGTCTGCCTTCGGCCCAAGGCGTGATCCCGGGGTCCCGGGATCGAGTCCGTCAGGCTCCCTGAAGGGAGCCTGCTTCTCCCTCCGCCTGTGTCTCTGCCCCTCTCTCTGTGTCTCTCATGAATGAATAGATAAAACCTTTTTTTAAAAAAAATTGTGCTACTCATTCTGGAGGCTTGTTTGGCTTATTTTTGTTTGTTTTTGTTATTGTTACTGTTTTTTTTTTTTTACCCTTTTTATACCTTATCCTTATTATATCCCTTATGTACCTTTACTTATATCCCTTATATATAAGGGATACTTATATACTTATATCCCTTACATACCTTTATATCCTTATTAATCCTTGGAGGTTGGGAAAGCCCTGGGCAGGAATGGTACAGGACTGATGCAGGATGTCTCCTTTACATGACAGGCGGTGGGTATGTTTTGGTACCAGCTCTCAGGCCGCAGTGCTGGGGTTTTGTTGATAAAATAATAGTGGTAATTTCTGAATGTGGAACAGACAGTTTTTATTAACATAGAATTTTCTCAAAATGAGGTTTTTGTTGTGTGATTTTTTTCTTACATCTTTGGCATTTGCACCTGCTCACCCATGTCAGAATCCCATAAAAGGTAGTATCAGATGTAGCAGGAAACATTTTTTGTCACTAGCTTAGTGTGTCAGTATTATTCAGTGACTTCCAAGTGTTCTGTTCACCTGAACAGGCTCAAGAACCACTAGAACCTTTCCCTCAGCCATTTATCTCTGATGTAAGAGATTCAGGTCAATGGAAATGAAATAAATTAAAATTAAATGAACTTAAAAGAACCAGTCAGTCTCCCAGCAGAGCTCTCTTCTGTTTTACTGTCCTTTTCCATCTCTGATAGGTTTGGGAAGATTCACAATATGGAGCCAGGCACCCAAGTATTATTCATGGAATTGGACATCTAACATTTTTTTAAATTTATTTTTTAGGTAAACTCTGCCCTCAACGTGAGGCTCAAACTACATGATCCTGAGATCAGGAGTCACATGCTCTGCTAGACTGAGCCAGCCAGGCTCCCCTAATATTTTGACCATTATATACAGATAGATTAAGAAAAACCTGGGCAGCCCAGGAGGCTCAGCGGTTTAGCGCCGCCTTCAGCCCAGGGTGTGGTCCTGGAGACCCGGGATCGAGTCCCACATCAGGCTCCCTGCATGGGGCCTGCTTCTCCGTCTGCCTGTGTCTGAGCCTCCCTCTCTCTGTGTCTCTCATGAATGAATAAATAAAATCTTAAAAAAAAAAAAAAAAAAAGAAAAGAAAGACCTGGTTACACAGATCTTAAACTGTGAATAAGTTAATTTGTTCTTTCTCACACCATCCAGAAATTGGGGCTAAGTACTATAGTCATACTAATATTTATTCACTACTCACTAGGTATGAACTTACCTAATCTGTACTATAAAACCTAAGAGGTGGGTACTGTTATTTTCATAATTTTGTACATGAGAATGTGTCACAGCAAAATTAGGTAATTTTTCCAAAGTCACGCAGCTAATAAACTAGGATTGAAACACGGGCAGATTGGGGCACCTGGATGGCTCAGCAGTTGAGCATCTGCCTTTAGCTCACGGCAAGAACCCTGTCCCAGGGTCGAGTCCCGCCTTGGTCTCCCTGCATGGAGCCTGCTTCTCCCTCTGCCTGTGTCTGTGCCTCTCTCTCTCTGTGTGTCTCATGAATAAATAAATAAAATCTTTTTAAAAAATAAATAACATCAGTCCTGATTGAGATTTCCCAAGTTGCCTCCAGATTTTTTTAAAACAGTTTATTTAAATTAGAGTTCAAATAACGTCCATCCATTGCAATTGATTGATACACGTCTTAAATCTCTTATAATCTACAGATTCCTCCTCCACTTTTTTTTCTTCAGCAGTTTAGTCTATTGGCGAATCCAGGTCATTTGCCCTGTAAAGTTTTCCTATCTAGATTTTGCCAATCACCTTTTTGTGGCATTCACGTTTTACCATTCCTGTGGATTTCCTGTGATAGTTACATCTAACGATTAGAATCTCATCTCTCTCTCTCTCTCTCTCTCTCTCTCACACACACACACACACACACATATACACACGTTTATATGCGCACACACAGATTTTTTCCCCCAAAAGTTCTCTTACCAGGCACACAATGCTGGTTATCTTTTTTTGTGTCTCTGTGATGTTAACAGCCATCAGTGGTCTTGTCCAAGCCCAATTAATCCTCACATATTAGCTAGAGTTCTTTATTTTTTTTAATTTAAACTTTTTAAGTAAACTCTACTCCACAACATGGGGCTTGAACTCACATCTTGATGAGTTGCATGCTCTCCTGTCTGAGCCAGCCAGGTGCCCCTAGATTTCCTCTTTAAAGAGAAACTTCCCCTAATTGTCTGTTAGGTTACCAAGATGTGTAATTTGAATAGGGAAGGCAGGAAAAATACTACTTGATTCTTTCCAATTATGTACCATTTTCTTTCTTTTTTTAAATTTTTATTTATTTATTCATTCATTAGAGAGAGAGAGAGGCAGAGACACAGGCAGAGGGAGAAGCAGGCTCCATGCCGGGAGCCCGACGTGGGACTTGATCCTGGGTCTCCAGGACCACACCCTGGGCTGAAGGTGGCGCTAAACTGCTGAGCCCCTTGGGCTGCCCCCATTTTTCAAAACAATGAAAAATGAGCTTGTTCTCTCTTATCCTGTAAAAGTGACTGAAGTTTTTGGTATTTTTTTTTTTTAAGTATCATGAACTGGTGGTTTTAAAATACTTTAGAATATTTGCTTCCATTGAAGTGATTAATTAGTCTTGTGCTTAAATGTTCTCATCTCTGGCCACTTGGGAGCTTTTCAAGTTGGTGCCTTTTGACATGACCTTAGTACTTTTTGATAGTTGCTTGCTTCGAAAAAGGTGTTCCTGGCTAACCTTGTGCATCTCTTATCCCATTCCTGGAACCCGCCCGCCTCTCCAAGGAGCCCGAGCTCCTCCTAGAAGAGCGGGAATCGTATTTAGATCGCAGTGTAAGTGTTGTCATAGATTTTTGAGTACTGCCCTGCTTCTGTTGATAAGTCAGGTGGACCTTTTCTTTTCTCTCAGGAGTCCATGAAGAATATCAGCTGCCATATTACGACTTAGTGCCCTCTGACCCTTCCATTGAGGAAATGCGGAAGGTCGTGTGTGACCAGAAGCTACGTCCCAACATCCCCAACTGGTGGCAGAGCTATGAGGTAGGAAGCTTCCCTGCCTCCTGTGGCTTTTCCATCTGCCTGATTTTTCTACTCTAGAAAAAGGGTTTCCTAATTAAAAAAAAAAAAAGTTAAAAGGGTTTCCCAGCACGGAGGCCATGCCCAGAGGTAACCCCTGAGCGTGTCAGTTACATTCTACTACATGCTGTTGTACACTAAGCCCTGAGGGTCCATGGTGCCTTGTCCTGGGCCTGCAGGTCCCCTTACGAATGGACAGCCTGGTAGAAGAAAAATCTGTATGTTGGGGACCAAGCCAAGAGGTAGTCAACAAGAGGCAGAAAGACTGAGTGGGACCTCTTAGACCCATCTAACTAGAGACATGGCTCTGGTACCACAGAGGGGAGCTGAGCTCTGTACAAGAGACCAGGAGAGGAATCCGTAGAGGAAGCTTAGCCTGGGTATAGAAGAATCACAGGACAGGACTTAGCCAGAAGACATGTCTGTGAGGGAGGTGGCCTTTCTAAAAAACTCCGAAGGGAGGAGTGTGTGAAGGATTGAGGGTTTGGAGGGTTGGAATTTGGAGGAGCAGGCAGCTGAAGTGGGGCAGAGACAGCATTTGGGGGGAAATGGAAGTTTATGGCATAGGTTTCTTATGAATATGGCATTCTGGGGTCTTCGAGTCTTCAAGGGGCACAGGGCTTGAGTAGCCAAGTACACGCGGGCCTCCTTTGCCCTCGAGGCTCTGCTTTTAGGGACTAGAACCACTAGAGGGCATTTCTGCATTTAAGAACGAAGTCCCTTCGTTCACATTTGAGGTGCTGTCCCCTGTTGCATAAGAGCATTTTCCAAAATGTTTCTCGACACCCTCAGGTCAGGGTTTCCAAGGATGAGGGTGAGGCCGAAAGAGCTGGTCTTTAGCTGCCCCTGTCCCACACGCTCTTCAGTCAGTTTTTGACATTTTGAAAACCAGTGGCCTAGAGTAGCAGCTGGGGACTTCCGTGGCGCCCAGGAGCCAGCAGAGTACGTAGGCGACCGTCCGGATCCATCTGTTGGCCTGACCACCGTGCAGCGGCCGTGTACCTTCCCGCCTCTGACAGGATTGCTGTGTGGGGGCTCCTGTCCTGTCCTGTTTTTTTGTCCACCTTCAGTCTGTCTGTGAGCTGTGGGGTCGCAGCCGTGCACGTACTCGTGCCAGGCTGGGTCCCTGTTGTGCCCGGTTCATACAGTCCAGAACCGTCGAGACGGATCCTCCAGGCTGACGGATCCTCCAGGATTTTCAGAGCCCTGCTGTTTTGGGTGCCCCCATGCAGAGCACGCCAGCCCCGGGCCGGCTGAGTGCGCTCGCAGGGCAGGCCTCCCCTGCCCAGGCCCGAGGGAGGGCCCGGGAGACGCGGTGCTCAGGAAGGCCTCCGGGCGGTCGCCTGACGGCCTTGTGGTCCCCGCGCAGGCGCTGCGGGTGATGGGGAAGATGATGCGAGAGTGCTGGTACGCCAACGGCGCGGCCCGCCTGACCGCCCTGCGCATTAAGAAGACCCTGTCTCAGCTCAGCGTGCAGGAGGATGTGAAGATCTAAGCCTCGCCCTCCCTGCACGCGCCCGGGCAGCGGGAGCTACGCGCAGCTGCCGTGCGGGGCGTCCGATGGAGGCCTACCTCTCGTTTCTGCCCAGCCCTCTGTGGCCAGGAGCCCTGGCCCGAAAGAGGGACCGAGCCCGGGAGACTCCGTCACTCCCACGTTGGGTTTGAGACACAGACACCTTTTATATTTACCTCCTAACGGCATGGAGACTCTGAGAGCGGACAGTGTGGAGAACTCGATGCCACACCTCAGACTGGCTGTGGTGGGAAGTCCCCGGAGCCGGCGCGTCTGGCGGGTGGTCAGGAGTGCGGCAGGCAGCCTGGGGGCACCCAGGAGAAGCCAGCGTCGCCGGTGCCGCCGCCCGCCCGGGCCCAGTGCGGAGCAGCACTGAGGGTTTTCCTCCAGGGACCAACCCAAGCACTCCGAGGTGGAGGTGGCCGGAGGCGCCGCCGGGCGGCCCCCTCGCCCAGGCAGCTCTGGGCCCCGCGCCCCTCCTGCCGCCGCGGACACCTGGAGGGACGGCCAGCCGAGACGGGGTCTGCCGCCTGTCTGTCCAGCCGTGTGTGCATGTGCCAAGGTGCGTCCCCTGTTGTGCCTGGTCCGTGCCACGCCCTTACACGTGTGTGTGTGTACGTGTGTGTCTGTAGGTGCGCACTTACCTGCTTGAGCTTTCTGTGCATGTGCAGGTCGGGGGTGTGGCCGTCATGCCGTCTGCGTGCTGGTGCCTCTGTGCAGTAGTGAGCAGCGTCCAGTTTTCCCTGGTGCCCTTCCCAGAGGTCTCCCTCCTGGCCCACCCCCCACCCCCACCCCACCCCCACCCCCACCCCCACCCCCGCGGTGGGACTCCTTTCCCAGCAGGCTGCTCCACCCACCCCTGTGTCAGCGCCTCTATTTCAGACCGTGGAACCAAAGCTGGCCCCGTTGTCCATGTCCGGCGAGGCTTTTGGGTCCAAGTGTGAGGCGGGGGTGGGCAGGGAAAGAATCTGAGTGGAAGTCTCGGGTGTTGTGATCAGCCGCAACCGTGGGAAATGAGCCAGCCCAAGGGCATCGTCCTCAACGGCATCAAGGGAGGGCGGAGGGCTTTGAAGCCCAGATCCTGGGACTCCGATTGGAATGTCACATCTGTCTTTCATATCCCAGATTCTGGAAACAGCAGTGTACATTTTTGGTGGTGATGGGTTTAGGGTGGGGAGGGGAAGGGGGGGCGAGGAGTGGGGAGGGAGTCGGGGTGGGAGGGAGGCATCTGCATGGGTCTTCTACTGGATTATCCGATCACGGTGGAGGGAAGATGTGAGACTTGCACCCACTTCAGGGGCCCTAGGAAAGGGAACAGCCCGAGCCAAACCTGTCATTTTAACCTGAGTATAGTATTCAATGATGCCTAGAAGCACGGTTGTGGGTGGTGGTTTGGTCAGCACATCTTAGGTATATAATAACCTTGAAGCCATAACTTTTAAACTGGAGTGGTTTGGTTTTCTTTCTTCTTTCCTTCTTTCCTTCCTTCGTTCCTTCGTTCCTTTGTTCCTTCCTTCTCTCTTTTTTAATTTTATTGGAAGGGTCTGAATTTAACTTTTTTTAATATCGTTAAGTTTTTATAAAAGGAAAACCATCTCTATGTGATGATTACCTCTCAATCTCTTTGTTTTTAAAGAAATTCCTACAAAACAACCACAGAAAAGTGCTCCAATCAAACGCACATAGCTCAATCACACTGGAAATGTTTGTCCTTGCACCTGAGCCTGTTCCCACTGAGCAGTGAGAGTTCCTCCCTCTTTGCCCTGGAGGTTCGTCTCTCTTGCACTGTGCACCCCCTGCCCCCAGTTCTGTGAGTGGTTTTTGCATCAGGGCCCTATCCTTTTGTGCATCGTTCAGCTGGTTGCACCTTTTCCTCCAGGCTCTTATTCAACAGATGTTTGCCGAGTGCCTGTCGAGTGTCAGGCACTGTGCTGGGCACTTGGAATATATAGATGTGAGCAAGACAGGCATCGGTCCTCCTCTGGGAGCACTGAAGAAGGGGCTGATTCAAGTCAGTGGGTGCCTGTTTCAAGACCAGAAGTTTGCATGGTTGGTTCTGAGAGCCTTTTGAGCCTGGAACGATCGCTCTTAGAGAAGACCACCGAGGAGCAGGTTGTCTCCCCACCCCAAAGAGCCCGGTGGTGGGCAGCGAGACCCTCCGGGCATTCGCTCCCAGCCTCCCTCCTGCCCCCGGGGGAGGCGAATGGTGTTTGCAGCCTGAGAGCTCGCCCGCCTCCAGCCCAGTGACTCTCTGCCAAAGCTTGTGGAGGAGGGGCGAGCCTCGCCCTGCTTACGGGGGTCTCCCCACTGCTCCTGGTCTTCCTATTTATTTTCCTGATGTGTTGCTTCTTTCCTTGCATTAAAGGAGATCTGCGCCTCACCCTTTGGGCCAATTTACTGGCTACTGACTAATTTCCCTTGAATACCAATTGTGTCATTAGGGGGACCTTCTTGCCCCACCCCTGCTGATCCCCCCACATTTGCCCTGCAGCAGAACCTGGCAGGGCAGAGGCGGTAATGGAACTTAGACTCCTGTGCCCAAGTCACAACCAGCCTCTGGGATCTGCCAACACTCCTCGACCCAGGGACTCCCAAGCCACTAGCCTGTTTCCCAGGGGGCCCTTCTGGCCTCACACCTTGGGAAGAGTGAGCAGTTTTTTGGGGAAGCTCCCACCCCCATCCCCGCCACTCTCAACACCAAGAGTTAGGAGTTAGAGAGGTGGGGGGACACTAAAGCCCGAAGCCGTGGTTTTTGGCCCCTGGGGCTAACCCTGATCCATAGGGCTACCTGCACCTCTGGATTCTGGATTCACAGACCAAGTCCAAGCCCGTTCTTACGTCGCCATCAAGGCCCCCGAACGGCATTCTCGGTACTTCTGTTTGTTTTTGTACATTTTATTAGAAAGGACTGTAAAATAGCCACTTAGACACTTTACCTCTTCAGTATGCAAATGTAAATAAGTTGTAATATAGGAGATCTTTTGTTTTAATATAAGAATGAGCCTGTCCAATTTCTGCTGTACATTATTAAAGTTTTATTCACAGAGCTTTACTGGCGTCCTCTGTCTTTCGTGCGTGTAGACCGACTGCCCGGCTCTTGGGGGAGAGGCGAACGGGGCGGACGTTCTGAGGTGCTGTGACCACCCAGTCACGGCCGGTCCCGTTGTCGTCGTCGGAAGAGGAGCTGGTCGGAACGGGGGTCTTCCTCCCTGAAACGCAGGGAGCGGCCTGGCCTGTGCAAGGGAGCACCTTTTCTTGGGCTTTGTCTGTATCTGCTTGTGCCTTTCAGCTTCTCTCCGTGTACAGAACACGGTCTTGATGCCGCTGCGTCCCCAGCCACCGACTCTCGAAGGCAGCCGGAGAGCTCTGCTCGGTCTGGGCCTCGCCCCTTGTCGATGAGAGAGTAAATGTGAACCGGGGGCACTTAGGTGACTGAGATGGGAGCCTTCTGTGGCTCCTCGGCTTTTCAGGGTGTGGGTGGCAGTGAATGTCTTTCTCTAGGCCACAGGAACCCAAGGTAGCAAGTCCTCGGGTCATGGAAGCTCAAGTGTAGCTGGGACCCTAGAGGCCGCCTGCCTGGTCCCTCGGTGTTGGGCACTGGACTCCCCTGCACACCGGCCCCCTGCTGCCGGCCCTCGCCTTCCACACCTGCACCTGCAGCCCATCTGCTCAGTCGCAGGCCCTCGTGGAACCAGGCAGCCTCTGGCGACTTCTCCGCCGGCCGTTGAGAGCAGACCTCTTTCTTCCCTGTGCGGCCCTTCAGTTAAAATAGTTAGCGTCCCTGAAAACTCACCGTGTGCCCACCAGCGCACCGAGTTTGCCTTATGTACAGGAACTGCTCTGACCCTCAAACAGCCTAGGAGGTGGGCTTACTCTCTCCCTTTGTGGATTAGGAGCTGAGGGTTAGGTCATGAGCTGGTCGTCTGTGGAGCTCGCAGGGTGGGAAAGACCTCGGGTGCACTGTCCTGCCCGCGTGGTTCCCTGCCCCCGCCCGTGCCCACTGCTCCCCCCTGAACCTAGCTAGGGCCTGCAGCCCGGACGGGCAGCTAGCATAAGCAAAGCGCAGACCGGGACAAGAATCAGGTTGTGTCCGACTCCCGCGGGTCACATGCGAGGACCCCAGGACTGCATCTCCTGGGTTGAGTGAAGCACAGCCACCTTCTTCATCCCACACGTGGGAAGTCGGTATTTTGAGCTCAAGTGCAGGACCTTACATGTTTGCTCTGTTAAATTTCACCAGAGAATGTGCTCTGGCTCCAGCCTGTCTGTATTTAAGAATCCTGATTGTGGGGGCGCCTGGCGGGCTTAGTCGGTAGAGCATGTGACTCTTATCTCGGGATTGAGTTCAAATCCCATGTTGGGTGTAGAGATTACTTAAAAATAAAATTAAAAAAATAAAAATGCTGATTGTTATCCAGAGTTTTCCATTGTTCTCTCATCTGAGACTTGGGCTGGGGAAAATCCAGGAACTCACCTCTAACAGTTGGCTTTAAGTTTGGCACATATCCCAGTAACCTGGAATAGCTGCTAATTAAATTGTCCTTGTGCCCTCGCCATAATTCATTTATGGACAGAGATAACAGCAGAAGTCCAAATATCTCTCTGAAGTGGCAAGGTATTATTGTGGCTGTTGCATCTCTTTGTTGAAAGAAAGGTGAAGTGGCTTATGGGGAATCTCAACCCCATTAAAAAGCCATCCTGTGAAGAATCCATCATCTTGCCGGGCATGGACCTAAAATCATTAGGCTATGGGTTGCAGCTTCAGCTTTACCATCCTGAACATCAGAATGGCAACTGTTGTGATGCCCCTTTGTGTGCCCTTGACACAAAAGTCTCACCTTTGTGAGGCCCATGACACAGGCCACCTGGATTCCTTTGAACAGTGTATCACTTGGGTTTTTGTTAAACACATCGTAGATTTTTGTTCCCACCAGGTTGTGTCTTCTGATCTTTACAATCCGGAGAACATGCTTGCTAAGTACAACCAAAACAAAATTAAAGTAGTGGAGTTCAAGAGACACTCGGGAACATGTGAGGGATGCATAATGAAGGTGGCGGGAGGGGGGAAGGCTTTGGAACAAGCCAGGAATAGTGTACTAGGGTTTTCCAGAGGAACAGAATGGATGGATGGACAGATGGACGGATGGACAGATGGATGGATGGATGGGGCTGATGGATGGGTGGGTGGGTGGGTGGGTGGGCTGATGGATGGATGGACGGGCAGATGGACAGACAGGCAGGTGGGCCGATGGATGGATGGATGGACGGATGGACGGGCGGACAGATGGGTGGGTGGATGGATGGGTGGATATTTTAAGGAAGTGACTCATGACTGTGGGGGCTGGCAGGTTTGAAATCGGGCCGACAGCTAGAGATCCAGGGAGGAGTTGACATTACAGTCTTGGGTCCGAAGGCAGTTCCTTCTTCCTCGGGGACTGCAGTTGGTTACGGCCTTCAACTGATTGGACGAGGCCCATCTGCATAATGGAGGGTAATCTGCTTTATTCAAAAACTGATTTAGGGACGCCCAGGTGGCTCAGCGGTTGAGCATCTGCCCTCAGCCCAGGGCGTGATCCTGGAGACCTGGGATCGAGTCCCGCATCGGGCTCCCTGCAGGGAGCCTGCTTCTCCCTCTGCCTGTGTCTCTCATGAATAAATAAATCTTTTCTAAAAATCTGATTAAAATTTTTTTTAAAAAAAGACTGTTTGACAGAGGAGCACAAGCACAAGCAAAGGGAGCTGCAGAGGGATTGGGAGAAGCACAAAGGAGAGGGACAAACAGATTCCCCGCTGAGCAGGGAGCCCGATGAGGGGCTCGATCCCAGGACCCCGGGAACATGACCCGAGCCGAAGGCAGACACTTAACCGACTGGGCCACCCGGGCACTGCTGCTGACTTCAATGTCATCACATCTAAAACATATCTTCACAGCAACATCTAGACAGGTTTCACCAAACAACGGGCACCACACCTTGGAGGTCGTTGGGCATCCCACGCTCCGACGGGATGGAGCTTAAGGAACATGGCGAAGCCTTGGGTCCATCTGGGGCCGCTCCTTGGGAGCCGTGGATGGGGGCTAACGGTGTAGGAAGGTCTAAGGAACAACTGGATAGACGAGGCTCTCTTTAATTTGTTGAGCAACCCTAATGTGTAGAGCGGACAATACCAAGGCCGCCTATGGCCCTCGCCCTCTGAGACAGAGGGTTTGTACGGAACAATAGGGCAGAGTGTGGTGTGTGCCGAGGGAGCCCCGTGCATCCCTGCCCCCCAGGGGCTCCCCAACTGCTGGAGTGGACCAGCACGTAGATGACCACATGGTGCGAGGCACATGCTGGGTAGGGGTTGACCCAGGGCATCTCAGGAGCACAGGGTGACGTTAGTTGGGGTCAGGAGAGGGGACCTCTCTATTTTGTTGTAGGTGTTGGCCTGCTGACTGAGGAGAGGGTTTTAGTCAAAAAGAGTGTCACCAAGAGCCACAGATGTCCTCAGCTAAGGCTAGAGCAAGGGAGCCAGAGCTGCAACGAGGGAGCCTGCTGGGGCTGTCACACGCTGAGAAGACAAGACTCCATCCCTTGTGACAGCTACCTGCGGCCGTCGAGTCAGCGGTCTGGGCTGGGCCTCCAAATGTTTCTCCGTAGCACAGCTTGCGTGGAGTAGCCGTAGGTTGAAACCTCTCTGGGGTCCCTGCTTCCTGGCGGAGGGCATAGGCCATTGGCAGGGTCTGGCAGGGGAGTCCCGTGGTCCTGTCTGGGAAGGTCACGGTGCAGATGGCCGGTTCCGGGGGGGGGGGGGGGCAGGGCAGGGGGAGATGGTGGCAGGCAGAGCACACAGGCTTGGGGCATGACCAGAGGCAGGCAGAGAAAGAGGGGGGCTGACTTCAGATCGGAAGAGGTGGGAGGAACTTAGTTGGGTGCAAACACCACTGTGCCCAGGGAGAGGGAACCGGGGATGAGCCACCAGAACCAAGGGGGAGGTGGGCTGGGGTGTCCGAGGCCCCAAGGTCCGTGGTTTCTGCCTCCTGTTACCCGGTGTCCTAGCAGCGGCGTGTGGATGCCGTGAGGAAGGCTGGGGAGTTCCCCCTCCCTCTGGGGGTCCAGCCTGCTCACGTCAGAGACCCCGTGACATCCCCACCGAGAGGCAAGGTGCTCCCAGGCCTCTGGCCAGACTGCACCCAGAGGCCACCCATATCCAACACAAACTACTTTATCTGCTCTGCCCTGACTCCCAGACGCCCCAGCACAGGCTCTGGGAGCTGCGCTGGATCCTCCCTGCTGCTGGGCTCCCCTGGGCCCCAGCACCAGGCACACACGCGCGCACGTGCGCACACACACACACACACACTCTCTCTCTCTCTCTCTCTCTCTCTCTCTCTCTCTCTGTCTCTCCAGTGGAAACTGTTGGGCAATAAGAACCAGTAGGAAAAACAACCACTCCCTGCCCAGGCAGCTGCCCACCGGCTGTCTGTGCCTCCCTCGCTGTCATGCGACCAGGGGGCCCAGGCCCTCATTTGCCTCAGAGCACCCGCTGAGGCCCAGGCCCCTCTCTCCCACCTCCCGGCTCAGAAGCAGCGCCAGTGCCCACACAGGAGCCTCAGCGACCTGTTACTCATCGTCCCAGGTCTGGGATCAAGTGACGGTGCTGGAGCTGAGTTAGACTCCAGAGCGGCCCCAGCTGCTGGTGCTCTCGCCCCAAGGGCCCCAACTCCCCGACGGTACCCTAGACCTGAGCACGGCTGTGGGGACAGCATTCAGCTGTCCCGCTTCCTCCACCGGGGACTGGGCGCCCGTAGGCATCCAGGCAGGGGCTTGTCCCAGAGAGAAGGGGTGTCCTGCGGGCCCTGTTCCTGGGCTGAGCCCCCGACACAGACGGCCAGCCCCACCCTGAGAGCAGAGCCAGGGCAGCTGGAGCGAAAGTAAGAAAAGCTGGGGAGCTGCTCGTTCTGACGGGGACTGGCTCGGGGATAAGCTACAGATTGAGTGCAGATGTCTGGGGAGCCGGAGCCCTGGGACTTGTGCAAGGAGGCCTCCCGGAGGGACGTGTCCTCGCACGCAGTTGCAGTGTGCAGCATGCGCCCCCATCCTCCCTGCCACCCCCGAGCTTTAAGGAGCTGCGGAAGGTAGGTTGGGGAGAACAGATGCTAGACAAGAGACTGGGCTTAGGAGGAAGTCGCAGGGGGTGGGAGAAGGCACAGCTTCAAGGACCCCGCGTGTCTGCCGCCCAGAGGACGCCCGCCCGCTGTCTGCCCTCTGTTGGTTGAGTCTGCGCCTGCGGCACAGCAGCCCTGGGGTTGGTGGGGGCGGGGGGGGGGGGGTGTCACAAATAGAACTTCCGAACCGCGACAGCGGCCAGGCTCCAGAACTCGGTGACCCAAGCGTGGCGTCTCAGTGGGACACAGGCCCTCTTGCACTGGAGGAGACGCGGGAGCTCCGCAAACCCTGCTCTGGTCCCAGGTGGAGGCCGGGCCCCAACCAGACCGGCCTGCGCTGCGCGGGTTTGAAGACTCTCCAGCAAGAGACGCGTGGCCACCAGGGGGCATCGCCACCCAGGTCGTGTGGCATCCTGGGCTCCCCATCCATCCCCTCCCTGGACGGACTGGGAGCAGGAAGCGGGCACAGATCTCAGCCCCCGGGCAGCTCCTAGCCGCTGAATGCAGTCCGGAGACCTCGGGTCTAGTGGCTTCTAGCACCCGGCCTGCCGCCGGCTCTCCTCCCTGGCCTCGGTTGGCCCCCTCTGTCCTTGCACCTGTGTCGTGCCCGGGCCCGGGGCCCTTCCTTGGCTCTCCAGCTCCGGGTCGGAGGGCAGGGTGCAGTGAGCCTCGCAGGAACTGCATCTCCTGGGCCCACCCTGACCCTGGGGTTCCGAGCTACTGGGCATCTCTGCTGCTGCGCCCTCCCTCGGGGGCAGAAAGGCGGCCTCCGGGCCAGGCCAGGCGGAGGAGTGCCTCAGGGGCTGAGACACAGGTGCCCTGTCCTGTCGCCCGCGGCGCCCACCGCTCCGGCTTTCAGACAAGGCCGAGTCTTTGGGTCGCTGGCCCTTCCCACGACAGGCGCCCTTCCGCTGCTCCCTCCAGGGATGGCTGCCCAGGAGCCCAGAGAACAGAGGCCATCGCCTCTCGCTCCGCACCGCCACCCGCACCCCCACCCGCACCCCAGACGCCGTCTGTCAGGGGCAGGCAGCAGACGGTCCGGGGGTCCCCATCTGTGCTCGCGCTTCACAATACAGTCCCGTGTTTCCCCACCAACACCCCCTCGGGCCCTCGGCTGATGGCCACTTGGTGGTGCCCCGGGGGAGGTGGGAGGAGGGAGAGGAAGGCACTGAAGGAGCTGGCCCTCGGCTCCCAGCAGCCCGCGGCCCCGTCTGCCGCCCCCCACCCAGCAAGCAGCCTGCCATCTGGACTTGTGCACCCCCCCCCACCCACACCCCCCGTGGGCGCCAGGCCCGGGGCTGGGGCCGGGGCCGGGGCAGAGCCGGATCCGGAGGCAAGGGAGCACAGAGACGGAGCCCTTCGGGGCTCTCCCGGGGGGACCTGGCCTCCTGCCTCCGCACTCGCCAGGCCGGCACAACCGCAGCTCCCGATGGGGAAGCAGGCAGGGCGGCGCCGCGCCAGCCTGGGCCGCACCGGGCGAATGGGGACCCGAGGGACACAGTGTCTCACCGGGTGGGATCGCAGGCTCTGGAACCGGGCTGCCTGGGTTTGAGTCTCGGCTCTGCCACTCAGGGGCCTAGAGCGAGTCACTCAGCCCCTCTGGGCCTCAGTTTCCTCACGTGTGAGGTATCGATTTCATAGGGTTGCTAGGAAGAGCAAGCGAGTTAATGCACGCAAGGAACAGCCCCCGCAGGACAGTGTGCGCGGCCCCACGGCAACTGCCCAATAAATGTCAGCTGTAAAGGTGAAACACAGGTTTGGGAAGACTGGGGAAGGGGACAGATGGGGACAGTACTCCCCAGCCCCCGTCCGGTGGCCACTGGTGGGGTGCGGAGGCCCCCAGCTTGTGCTGACGCCCTGTGGTGGCTAGCTGCTCTTTAGACGCCAAGACTGGCCTTCCACTTCCTCCTCTCACTTCTTATTTGGGCACCTCTGACGACAGAGACTTCAGCTGGGCCACCCCAGTCTCTCCCACTGCCTGGCAGCCACGGTAACAGGCGGCAGGTCGGGGGCTGGGGGGAAGATGATCCCAAAGTCCCGTCAGACAGTGGTGGAGCACCCCCCCCCGCCCCCCAGCACCCACGCAGCTCAGGCACGGTCCCCTCCCCAGCAGTCAACACAGAGTGAAGATTTTTCTGCTGCAAAAAGGGGCATCTGAGCTCCAACCTCAGGAGCTGGGGAAAGGCACATTCAGGAGGGACCGCTCCTGACCCCCCACGGGGACAGGCCGTGGGTGTCCACTGCCTCCTTTTTCACCTCTTCTGGGGCAGCTCTGGAAGGGGAAATCCTCGGCCCTCACTCCCCGGGGGCTCGTGCAGAGCCAGGGGTATTTCTGACCTTCACTTCCTTCAGGCACTTCACCCCCCTTTGTCCATACCCCTGCCCCTGCACTGCCCTCCCGACCCTCCCCCTGCCTAAAGGCTCCCGCAGCCCCCCGATGGCCTAGACTCTTCCCCTGGGCTTCCAACGACCCCTCTCTGCCCCCCACGCCACCAGATTCTCCATGAATCTCCAAAGCCATCCATCTCGGGATTTTCAAGCCTCGTGCACAAGCCCCTTCACACGCACGCACACGCAGACACGCACACCCGCCGCAGGTACCCGGGGGACCCCCGGCCCCGCCCCAGGGTGCCCCGCGCCCCTCCCCCGCGGCCAGGTTTCCCCGGCCCCGCGGGGCGGGGGACGCCGTGGGCGGGGCTTGGGGCAGCGGACCCCCCCGGGGGCGGGGCCTGCCGCTCAGGGGGCGTGGCTGCGCGAAGCCCTGCCCCTCCCGCCCCGCCCCGCTCCCCGAGCCTATAAAGGGAAGCGGCCCGCCGCCCGCCCGGCTAGCAGCCCCGAGCCGCTGGCAGCCCCGCCGCGCCGAGCGAGCGCCGCCTCCGAGGGTCGCCGGGCGCCGGAGCCATGACCCTCCGCCGACTCAGGAAGCTGCAGCAGAAGGAGGAGGCGGCGGCCGCCCCGGACCCCGCCGCCCGGGCTCCCGACTCCGGAGCGGCCCCCGCCACCCCCGCCGCGACCCCGGCCTCGGGCCCCCGTGCAGCCGCCGCCGGCCCCGGGGCCCCCGGAGACGAGCTGTACGCGGCGCTGGAGGACTACCACCCGGCCGAGCTGTACCGCGCGCTCGCCGTGTCCGGGGGCACCCTGCCCCGCCGGAAGGTGCGTGCCGCCCCCGCCCCCGCCCCGCCCCGCCCCTCCTCCCGCGCGCAGCTGCGCCCGCCGACCCCACCGCGCTCTCCTCGGGGCCCGCGGTCCCCCCGCGCGCTCGTCCTGTCCGTCGCTCGGCCCCCTCGGCCCGGTCCTGCGAAGGCGCGAGCCTGCCCCCGCCGCCCCCGAGCCCCGCGCTCCCCACGCGCCGCCGTCGCGTCTCGCTCCTCTCCTCGCCGACTCCCCCGAGCACCCCTGCTCCTACTCGCTCCATCTGGCCCCCCGCGCCCCGCGCCCCGCGCCCAGGTGTCTCCAGCCCCCCCCCCCCGGGAGCCCCCGTCTGCGCGGCTCCGGTTGCAGCGGGGAGGCCCGGGGCTGCGGTCCCGCCGCGCGGGGAGCGGGCGCGGGTGGGGTCCCCGGAGCTCACGCTTCCGAGGGGACGCGCGGGTTGCTGCGCTCCGGCTGCCGCCCTGCCCGGCGTCGGGTGCGGGGCGCGGGGGTGCGGGGCGCGCGCGTCGGCCGGGACCGGACGCGGCGGGAGGGGGCGCCGGCGCCCGCGGGGCAGGAAGGATGCGAGCCGCGCCCGCCTTCTGCGGCTCCCCCTCCGCGGGGCGCCTCCTCCGGCCTGGGGCCACCTGAGCGCTCAGAAGTGGGGACACGCACCCAGGTTAGGGAGAGGGCGCTGGTGGCCTTTCCTCGCTCAGTCCCCCCCCCTCCCCTGGCCCCTGGCTCCCCCCCATACAATGAACAGCTTGTTGAGAATTTGCATTTTATGAAAATCGGAATAAAAGACAAAGGGGTCTCTCTATGCCTCGCAGCCCTTCCGTCCCGGCCCGTTTGGGAGCTGCCCCCACCCCTGAGGGCCAGTCTTGGGTTCTGGAGAAAGAGGACTCGCTTCTCTTCCCAGACTCGGGTGGGCCCCGGGGGAGGGTTGACTGGGCGGTTGAGGGCACGCGGGACCAGGGCTGGTCTGGCAGGGCCTCCTCCAAGGCCCAACATTTTAGGGAACGAGAGAGAGGAGCCGCTCCCGGGGCCCCAAGTTGGCAGGAACCCTCGGCTCTGACATCTCCCTCCCGCCCACCTCCCCAAAACCCTCCCAGTCTCTTTCCTAAGTATGGTGAGACTTAAGGACAAGTTTGAGATTCGGTTTGTGTTTGTTTTGTCCCAGAGAGCAGCAAAATAGATGGCAATGTCCAGAACCCCGGGTGGAGCAGGGCGCAGCTGGACACCTGCAGCTGGGATCCACAGTGGGCCCCTGAAACAGCCTGTAGTTTGGGGGAGGAGGGTTGGCCCTACCCTCTCCTGATTCTCCGAGTTCAGGCTGGGATTGCCGGCCCTCCAGACCTGGGTCTCTGACCCCAGCTTCCCCAAGTGGCTGAGACATTAGAAGGAGATGCCTAACTGTGTGGCGGGGGGTGGGGGGGGGTGTCTCTGGAGGACCTTGATAGGCAAGCCCAGGGTCCCCCTGCCCTTCCTTGGCAACATCTGTAAAGAGCCTCTGCCTTGGCTTTCAGGGTTTGGGAGGCGCCTGAGCCCTGCAGACACACACCCCGAGGGTAGAGACTATTCTAGCTTAATGAGTCCTCTCAGCGCCCCCGGCCTGGACCAGCCACAGTGCTGAGAGGTTCCTGCATCTGGACCCCAGGAGGAGGGTCTGGGGTGGCAGACACTGCCGTGTCTCAGTCTCCCTTATGGGGTAGAGCCTTGGGGAGAATTTTGTGGAGTGATGCTGGAGCTGAGCGGCACTCAGCAAATAGTCACGCTGTCGCCAAAGCAAGTATGGAACTGGGACCAGCCAGGCGGGCACCAGGAAGTGAGGTGCTGGGTCCAGGGGCTGGAGCTCAGGGGAGAGTCTTCCCAGAGTGGACTCTCAGCACCTGCTCCAGGACAGTCCTCCTCTCACCTGCTCTTTCCTCTCTTTCTTCCCACCCAGGGCTCAGGATTCCGCTGGAAGAATCTCGGCCACAGTCCTGAACAGCAGCGGTGAGTCACCATCACCAGCACCCCGGAGCCCCTGCCCTGGTCCAAAAGGGTGAGGTGCCGGGGTGGGGGTGGAGGGCAGCACGACACAGCTCTCAGCCCAGGGGGAGTCATGCTGCTACCCTTTCAGCGTGGTTCCCTCACTAGGAGTGAGGGGCAGGTGGGGGGTGTGGGCTGTGTTAAGGGGGTGGCAGAGAAAGGAGGTAGGGACTTTTGAGTCATCAGGTACTCCTCATGCCACCCCCAGTCCCTGCCAGTCACCCCTCCCCGGGCAGATCTAGATCTGGGAGGGGGAGGAAGTAGAAGTCCTTGGGGGCTCCCCTGAGAGCTCTCCCAGCCCCAGCAAAGCCCCAGGGGGCCCAGACCGTAGCCCAGCTGTGTCCAGCTGTGTCCAGCTGTGTCCAACTGCTTGAGTGTGGCCGCCTCCTGCCTCCAGGAGCTCCGTCCTCTGCTGCTCCCATCCATGGCAGCCCTCTTTGGAAGCATCCGACGTGAGGGCAGTAGTAGGCGCTGCCCTCAGGCCCTGCGCCGCTCAGGCCCAGGCAGACTGGGGCCTGGCTTCTGAAGTGGATCAGCGGACTCCAGCCGGCTAGCTAGACTGGCCTGTTGGGCCCTTGAGCTAAGAGTTGTTTTTATATTTCTAAAGGGTTGTAAAAATAACAACAAAGAACAATATAGGACAGAGGCCCAACGGAGCCCGCAGAGAAAGCCTGAAATATTTACTAGCTGGCCCTCTGCAGAAAAAAGTTTGCCAACACTTGAAGAAACCCAGAGTAACCCAGAACTTCAGTCACCCTCTTGCCCGCCCGACACAAAACACACACGGAGCAGGCGGCCCAGGGATCCCAGTGGGGAGGCGCTCCAGGGAGCGCTGGGAGTTGCTTGCTGCTCAGCATTTGGGGGGCATCTGGGTCGGGCTGGGAGCTGTGGACCCGGGTCTCCAGGGCCTTTCTGAGGCCGGGAGACTCGAAGGGGCCTTTGGAGGCTGCTGTGACTCTGCCTCTGGCGGGGGCGGGAAGGAAGGGGGTGGGGGTGGGCAGAGGAAACTCTGGGCTCCCCCAGCAGGCGAGGATCTGGAGCGGCTCCAGACCATTGTGTCCGGCGGGCAGGCCTTCAGTGCGGGAAGGGGCGGCCTCCAGGCTCCCCTCCCCCCGGCCTCACATCTGGTGGGCTGGGCTGGCCCGCGCAGCTGGGAGGAGCAGCTGTGGTCTGGGCTGAGCCTCGTGACCGGCCTCCGGGGGTGGGGCCAGCCCGCTCCCCAGGGCCTGGAGTGGGGCCCCGGCTGGGCAGCGAGTGGTACTCCAGGGCTCACTAGAAAGCTGCAGGCCTGCCTCCCAAACTCCGGAGGCCCGTTCCCTCTGGGGACCAGCCTACGCTGGAGGCCAGACTGATTGATTCTCTGTGGCTCCACGAAGCTGATTTCAGCTGGGGACTGGGACGGGCGTTCCAGCGACCCATGACGAGAGTGAGTTGTCGCTGGAGACCGTGAGCCCCGCCGGGTGTTCTAGAGCAGACCCTGTCAGGCCACACGATGGGACCACCAAGCTCCTTCTAACCCTGACAGTCCCGAAATGGCCCCCGTGTCCCCTTGCAGGAAAGTGGTGACTTTGGAAAAGGAGGAGAACCAGACTTTCGGCTTTGAGATCCAGGTGGGAGAAGCTGGGTGCAGGGGAAGGGGGGGATCCGGAGGCCGGCCCGAGGGAGGGCTGGACCCTGCCGCAGCCCTGGCTGATGGTCCCCCTGCCCGTTACAGACTTACGGCCTCCACCACCGGGAGGAGCAGCGCGTGGAGATGGTGACTTTTGTCTGCCGGGTCCATGAGTCCAGCCCTGCCCAGCTGGCCGGGCTCACACCAGGTGAGGTCTGAGCCCAGGTCGCAAGGCTCCGGGCAGGCGGGATGGCCTTACTCCCAAGCAGAGGGGGTGAGAAATCTCTTCTGAAATCAACTCCCCTTCCTTGTCCTGTTTTGAGAAGGCCGGAAAGAAGAATGGATAGAGTCTAAGCTTTGGATCCAGGCAAATTGGCCACGTACTGTGTGCTCTCAAGCAGTCCCAGCTGCAAAATGGGGGCAATGACCCACCAAGGGTTTCCCTGGGCACAGAGCCGAGGCCTGGTGAGTGGCAGATGTTGCTGCTACTGTTTGCCTCCTCCTGGCGTTCTGGCCCTCTGGCCCTGGGCAGGAGTCGGGGAAGGCGCGCCACTCTGTTAGATCTGCTTGATGGCGGCGATCAGGGCCCATCCTGTGCCAACCTGGCCCAACTCCGCGGGGCACCTGTGTTACTTCCTCCAACAAGGAAATGGTGCCTCCAGTTGGGGGACCCTTGGGATTGACCAAGTCTAGAGTCCCTGGGCCCCAAGAAGGGGATTGAGACTGTATGAACCCCCCCAATTCCATCACCACTTCCTTCTCTAAGCCCCCGCCTCCTTGCCCACTTACCAGCAGCCCCTGGTAGCCTAGTGGTGTACGGCAACTCTGCAAAATGCTCTGAGGCCCGCTCTCCCTCCTGATCCCCGAAGTAGCCACAGTGAGGATCCACATCCTTTTTCTACAGATGGGAAATGGGGCCCTTGGAGATGGTGGCTTGCCCTGCCTCGAGTCAGGAGGCTCTGCGGTGGCGCGGGGAGTCAGAAGCCGAGGCCTCTCATGCCTGGGGCCAGTGGTAGTTCCCAGCTGCGTGCTCCTCACCCTGACCCCTTCCTGTCTTGGCTGGGTCTCATGACCGCCTGTGGGCTACACAGGAGTAACCGGCTCCGGTGGCAGCCCACGGGTGCTGAGAGGGCTCGGCCTTTGGGTGCAGTCTCCTTAGGATGGGGTGCAGGTGTGGGCGAATGAGGGCCTGACCCCCACACCCTGGTGCTGGGCCAGGACCAGGTTTCCCCACAACCATGGGGAGTGGCAGGAGGGAGCTCAGGAGTGTTCTGTGGGGTTATGACCCTGATTCTTGCCGGCTAGGCTAGGGGGCTGGGACCGTCCCGTCATGCCCCATGGGACACACGCTGACCCTCCTCTCCGCCTGGCAGGAGACACCATCGCCAGTGTCAACGGCCTGAACGTGGAGGGCATTCGGCATCGAGAGATCGTTGACATCATTAAGGCGTCGGGCAACGTTCTCAGGTACGTCTGCTGCCGCCGCCGCCGTCCTTGAAGATTCCCCAGCTCAGCTTCTCTCAGTGTTTCCACACCCCGTGGGCTCTCTCAGCCTCTGATTCCCCAACCTCCTCAGGCTGGAAACTCTGTACGGGACGTCCATCCGGAAGGCCGAACTGGAGGCCCGGCTGCAGTACCTGAAGGTAGAGCAGCCCGGGAACGCCCAGCCGCCACCCTCTCCTCCCCAAGCCCGTCCCTCCAGGCCTCACTCTTTAGTTGGGGGCTCCTTGATCTGTCTGAACCTGCCTTGAAAAAAAACCTTAAGGTGCCGCCTGAGCCCTCCCAGCCTGCGCGTACCCACCTCCTGACAGTGCGATGATGACGTGGGGGGGGTGTCTCTTGCAGCAAACCCTGTATGAGAAGTGGGGAGAGTACAGGTCCCTAATGGTGCAAGAGCAGCGGCTGGTGCATGGTGAGTAGGGGTGGGGGTGCACAGGGTCCCCTACCGACACCCCTAGTCATGCTTCCCCCCGCCAAGGGAGGGGTTCCCTCCCTCTCCAAAGTGAAGAAAGGTTGGGTGCGCTCGGGGTGCAGCCCTGACCTGGGCTATGTGACCCAGACATTTGCGCTTACGGGGGCCCCCAGTGTCACGGGGGTCCTCAGGAGCACTGCGTGCATGCCCGGTTCCACGGAGGAGCCCCATGCAGGCGTCCCCGCGCCCTGACCGCCCCCCCCCCGCCCCCCCGCCCCCGCAGGCCTGGTGGTGAAGGACCCCAGCATCTACGACACGCTGGAGTCGGTGCGCTCCTGCCTGTACGGGGCGGGGCTGCTGCCGGGCTCGCTGCCCTTCGGGCCCCTGCTGGCGGCGCCCGGGGGTCCCCGCGGGGCTGCGCGGCGGGCGGGGGGCGACGCGGACGACGCCGTCTACCACACGTGCTTCTTCGGGGCCGCCGAGCCCGCGCCCCCGCCCGCCCGCGCCCGCGCCCCCGCCGAGCCCCCCGCGCCCCCGGCGGCGCCCCCGGCCCGGGCTGCTCTGAGCCGCAGCGCCAGCGTGCGGTGCGGGGGCCCCGGGGGCGGCGGGGGCGGCGGGGGCGCGGGGGGCGCGCTCTGGACTGAGGCCCGCGAGCAGGCCCTGTGCGCCCCGGGGCTGGGGCTGCGCAAGGCCAAGTACCGCAGCTTCCGCCGGCGGCTGCTCAAGTTCATCCCCGGACTCAACCGCTCCCTGGAGGAGGAGGAGAGCCAGCTGTAGGGGCGCCCGCGGGGCGGGAAGCTATTTATTTATTTATTCGTGGCAGCCTGTGCGGAAAGGGGGCGGCGGGGGTGGGGGGACCCCAGGAGCCCAGCAGCCCAGCGCCAAGGGGGAGGGTCCCCCGGCCCCAGCTGGCCTGCCGCCCCCCCCACCCATGCAGGGGCGCCCACACCCCTCCCCACCTCCTCCTCTAACCCCGGCGGGGAGCTTGGTTGGGTTGGGGACGGTTTGGGGGCGTTCATCCTACATCCAGGTCTGTAGTGCCTTGTGGGGTGTCCAGGAGAACTCCCCTGGAGGGGAGGAGCCCCGTCCCACGAAGCCCTCTCCCCAGCTTTACGTGCTCCTCGCCCTGGCCCTGGGGGACACAGGGCCTGGGGTCGGGCCTCCCCCCCTCCCTCCACGCACAGCCTCCCAAGGTGCTGGGCCCCCTCCTTCCCGGCCTGGACCCCTAAGGGCTTGGCCCCTCCCAGGGGCCTGTAACTAAGTTGGGTCCTGCCGGGCAGGGGTCCCGGGTTCTTCGCCCCCTTGGGGGACAGGAATGGGCACGTCCAGGTGGGGTGGGGGCAGCACAGACTGTTCCGCCGTTTTGCATATTGTTGCTTCTGAACCACAAACTGTATAAAATTGACGGTTTTTTTGCATCTGTTGTCAGCGTGGTGACTGCGGGGGTGGGGGGTGGGGGCAGGATTGGGCTCCAGCAAGCTCCGACTCTACCACGCACCGCATCCCCCAACACACGCCTCCCCCCCACACACACACAGACATGCTCTCGAACACTGTATTTTACATCTTATTTGCTTGGAGCCTGCAGCCAGGGGGATTTTGACTTACGTGTGTGAACCTGAGCAAGAGGCCCCACACCCTCCCCAGAACTCGGGTGCTTCCCTGCCCAAGACTCCCAGCAGGCGGTGGCCAAGCCTCCTCCAAAGTCCTCGCCCGCCCTGCCCTGCGCAAATAATTGTGCTTGGAACCCTCTGGGCCCTGGGCCTGGGTCACCCACAGCCACCCCGCCTGTGACCGGCCCAACCACTGACCGCTCCATTGTCGTCGAACTCCCTACCTCTAGAATGAGATTCTAAGTCCCACGCTGGCTTATCTGACCCTCGCCCGCCTCGTTTTCTTGTCCCCCTTCTCGCTTCCTGCTCCGGCCCTATTGCTCCATCCGGTGCGCTCCCCACCCCATCCACTCGGGGCCTCTGCGTTCACTCTTCCCATAATTGGCCCCTTCAGTCCCCAGCTCTGCCTCCCGAGGGACTCCCCACCCAGTCTGAAGTAGCCGCACCTTCCACCGTGACAGAGCCCTGCTTTTTTCTGTCCTACTACTCATCACCGTCCGGTCCGCGGTTGTCTTGACTTTTGTGGATTCTGGTGTTTGCCTGGCCCCCGCCCCTATTACGAGGCACACTCCTTGCAGCGGGGCCCAGGGATCTTTCTTGTCTTAATCTGCTGCTTTACTTCCTGCCTGGTACGAGCTCATAGTAGAACCCCAATAACGACAGTGTGTGCCCACAGCATGTCCGTGAGTTGGACGCTACCTTTCTTGGCGGTGACCAAGGGCAAGCGACCTGTCTAGGGTCACACAGAAAGCAAGTAGCAGAGCTGGGCCTGGGACTGGAGCCTCGTGTGCCCGTCCTCCCTGGCGGTGACCAGCATACAAGGAACAGCTTCAAGGGGTCTACGCGGCCCCCTCCCCGAGCCAGGCCATCTCCCACCTGCACCACTGCACTTGCCTCCTGCATGGGCTCCCTGCTGCCTCTCTTGGCCCCAGAGACCCCTTCACACAGTTTGGGAAATTGGATCATAACCCTCCTCACTTAAAACCCCTATGGCTTCCCTTCGAATAAAAGAATAAAATCCAAATTACTGCCTGTGGCTCACCCATAACACGTTGTCCTTCCGGGCAGACAAATGACAAAAGGACACCCCTTCCTCTGAGCTGACGGCAGCCACACAGGCCCAAGAATTTGGTACCTGGGAGCCGTTGTGCTGGGATGCCCGGCGGGAGGCCCTGCAGGGCCAGCGCTCTGGCCCTCTCCGTTTCTCCTCCCCTGACACACGTCTCGTGTTCTCGTGTGTAAGCCACACGCTTCTTCCTGGTCTCATTCCTCAAGCGTGCCAAGCTCTTTCTCGTCTCTGCCCTTTGCCCATGCAGCGCTCTCCGCCTGGAATCCTCTTCTTCACCAGGCTGATTCCTCAGCTTAACACTTTCTCAGCTTTCCCAGATCAGATCAGCAGTTCCCTGTCCTTAGCTTCATCTCCAGGCCTCTAGTGGTTTTTTTGTTTGTTTGTTTGTTTGTTTGTTTGTTTTTTCCTTCACACCACTTACTCCCCATTGGTAACTATACCGACTTCTTTGCATAGGCGTCTTGCGCCCTAAGGCAGCCACGGGGAGACTCAGCCTTGCTTACCCCGTGCCTCCAGGGCCTGACACGGGGGTGGCACGCAGCAGGTGCTCAATAGTGGGGCCAGGCCAGCCGAGGGGAGGTCATCGCCCCCCAGCCCCGCCCCCCAGCCCCGCTCCAGCTGATGCTGGCATCTGCGGGCCCCTCTCATTATATCCCTTCGGGGCTGGGTGTCAGCTCCAGGCCTGACACCTGCACCTGGCCGCCCTGCCCTCCCTGGTTCCCGGGGAGGGAGGACATTTGATTAAGAAAATGGAGCTTCCCCAAGCTCCCTGTTTGAACAGCTGCTCTGAGCAACGACAAACAGCAGCAGCTCCCGGAGGCTCAGGTCTCGGGGAGGGGCCCTACCTTTGTTCCCAGCGCCCAGGACTGCCAGGAGACCAGCCGCCCAGGGGAAGCCTAGCACCTTCGTGGGGGGCAGGGTCTGTGGCCTCCCCGGCTCTCCTCCCAGCAGAGCTACCAGCCCCTCGCTGAGCAGCCTCTTCCTCCCTCCCCTCCGCCCATGCAGCTAGCCCTGGGAGTGATGTCGGTACCCCTCACCCAGGTGGAAGGGGGCTCCTGGCCCGGGCACGCACCGAGCAGGGTGAGGGGGTGCCCAGAGGGGGGCTGGATCCCACCTCACAGATGATGGGATGACGGCACCAGCACAGCAGCCTCCTGCCGTGTAGGTGGGTGACAGGGAGTGACTAATGTGCGAGCTGTGATGCTAAAAATTAACCCAGGGATCGTGTTTGGTGGAGGGTGGGGGTGGATGGGAAGGGAGCAGGGACGCGGAATAGTATGTGGCTGGTATTCCCCTGCCCCTGCCTCCCCTCCTTCAACTCCCACCAACCTTCTGGTCCCCTCAATGCCTCGGGGGACTCTGTGGGAGCCCTTCCTCAACCCCAGGCCACGAGGGGCCCTGAATAATTCCAGGGAGAAGAGTGGACGCCGCTCTAGGTCTTGTGCACTGTAGAGTCAGGACACAGCCCCGCAGAGGGAGTTGTGGTCTGGGGTCCCTGCCTCTGCCCCCATCTCCCTAGCATGGGGTGGCTGCAGGCCCCTGAGTGCCCCTGGGGCTTCCCCTCTTCCCCAGGCAGAGCTCTGCTCAGGAGTGGAGTGGGGAGCAGAAGTAGCCAGTGCACAGAGACAAGGGCAGGTTTCCATCAGCAGTGGAGTTGGGGGTGCGGTACCTGAAGGAAAGGACAGGACCTGTCTCCCAGAACACCTGCATATACCAGCACGCGCTAATCACTTCCAGAGCCATTGACCACCTCGGCCTCACAGCCTATCTGAGAGCCATGTGCCACTGTCCCCACTTTACAGATGAAGAGGAGGCTCAGAATTGGAGAAGTAAGTTGGATGCCTGGGTGGCTCAGTGGTTGAGCGTCTGCCTTTGGCTCAGGTTGTGATCCTGGGGTCCTGGGATCGAGGTCCACATCGGGCCCCCCGCGGGGAGCCTGCTTCTCCCTCTGCCTGTGTCTGCCTCTCCGTCTCTCATGAATAAATAAATAAAATATTTCTTAAAAAATTAGAGAAGTTAAGGTAGCACAGCTAGTCCCTGGCAGAGCCAGCATTCCCGAGAGCCCGGATTGGGCAGAGGGAAGACTTCCTGGATGAAGGAGTGTGTGAAGGACAGGATGTCAAGATGCTAAGGAACCATTTAGAGGAACCACTTCTGGGGAGGGAAAGAGGGAGCATGGAGGGTGGATGAAAGGTGGGACCTGGGGGAGCAGGGTCTGAGATGTGCCAGAGAGCAGATGGAGATCAGGTCCAGAGGGATCCAGGCTCCATGTGCGTGCTGTGCTGGAGCAAGGTGAGAACATTCCCATCTAAGGATCGAGGGGCTCTTGAAACTGGGCTCTGGGTGCCACAAAGGGACCTGGGCTTGGAGAAGAGCTTTGCTGACACACATAAGAAGACACGTTAGAAGGAGTAACTCATAAACCCTCCCATTTTGCTTGAAGACAAAACCAGAGAACTTGAGCTGAAGGGCGGCCGGAGAAGAGATAAGAGAGGAGAAAGCACTTTCTGCTCACTAATTAGTCACTCCTAAAGTCGGGGAAGTGAGAGGCTGTGGGACTCCCCGGGGGTCAGAGAAATGCCAGGCTGTCTAGTCTGGAGGCTGTCTGGCCCTGCGCTGAGGCTGCATGGGCTGGCCTAAGGGAGGAGGAGCGGGCTGAGGGAGGCGGAGAGAAAGGAGCCTGGGGTGGGGAGAAGCGGGACCAAGGAGGGCTCCTCAAAGAGTTGAAAGAGCCAAAAAAAAAAAAAAAAAAAAAGAGGAGAGAGAGAGAGAGAGAGAGAGAGAGAGATGACACCGCAGGCGAGCCCGACCCCTCGTGGTGACCTCAGAACACTGCATCTCTCAGCCCTGACCTTACAGAAATAGGGTGCGGGGTCTGCAGAGCAGGCCTGCCCCACCCACGCTCTCCCAGAGGGGAGACGCCTCTGGCCTCTGAACCAGCCACCCATCCGAAGCTCCCTGCGACCTCGATTCTCCTGGCGCTGGGTGAGCCGTTCAGACCACACTGCTTGAAGGCAGGTAAGTCTGAACGAATGAACAACGCATTCAGAACTGATAAATCATCAGGCTTAATTTATTTCAACCAACATAGCTTCTCTGTGTGGAGGCCCACTGAGTCTGAAGGTGCATAGACTGGAGTTGGGGGGTAGTGGAACACGCCTGCTGAACCGCAAGACGCGGAATTTCTGCCCTTAGGGAGACCTCCTAAACTTCAGGGGATGCTTCGCTCCTGGAGTTTCAAAAACACACCAATTTACACACAAAGAAAAAATTATGGAAAAGAAAGGGTGCTAATTAGTAGCAAGAAAACATGTAAGGATAAGGGGATCCCTGGGTGGCGCAGCGGTTTAGCGCCTGCCTTTGGCCCAGGGCGCGATCCTGGAGACCCGGGATCGAATCCCACGTCGGGCTCCCGGTGCATGGAGCCTGCTTCTCCCTCTGCCTATGTCTCTGCCTCTCTCTCTCTCTCTCTCTCTCTCTCTATCATAAATAAATAAAAAAAAAAATTTAAAAAAAAAAAAAAAAAGAAAACATGTAAGGATAAATCTTATTGGAAAAGCACATGTGCTGCCAAAGCAAGCACGGACAAGTAAATACACAGGGGCACCAGGGTGGCTCGGTCACTTAAGTGTCTGCCTTCAGGTCAGGTCACGATCCCGGGGTCCTGGGATTGAGCCCCACATTGGGCTCCCTGCTCAGCAACGGGTCTGCTTCTCCCTCTCTCTGCCTGCTGCTC